CTTGACAAAGAAGAGGAAGATAGAAGAGACCTTAGTGGTTAAGCTCACAGAGCATTGCAGTGCAATTTTGCATAAAAAACTCCCACAAAAGTGTGGAGATCCAGGGAGTTTTACTATACCTTGCTCTTTAGGCACCATTAATTTTGAGAAGTTTTTATGTGATTCGGGTGCCTCAATTAATCTAATACCTCTGTCTATTTACAAGAAGCTGGAGAATGAGATTGGAGAGATAAGGTCGGTGCAATATCTTTGCAGCTGGCAGACCAGACGACTATAACACCCGAGGGGATAGTGGAAGATGTCTTAGTGCGGGTGGATAAGTTCGTATTTCCTGTAGATTTTATAGTGGTAAAAATGGAGGAGAACAAGGAGGTCCCCCTCATCTTAGGAAGACCATTCTTAGCAACGGGTAGAGCGATATTAGATATACACGAGAGAAACTCATGCTTAGAGTGGGTGAGGAAACGGTGACTTTTGAGATGAATGTAGCAATGGTGGTGAAAAAGGAGAAGCCAGCTGCAAGTATTGAGTGGAAAGTGAAGAGCTCGAAAGAGAAGGCTGCAGTGAGTGAGGAAGATAAGTTTGGGGTATATCCCAAGAAGGCTGAGGAGAAGCTGTCTGCATGGATGTGTGCATTAGTTCGGGCGCGAGGAATGGAGCCCGACTTCGACTCAGACCCCGACTAGATGTTCAGGGAAGTTTCCTTTAACTTATGCTTTTTAATTGTGTCATGGGGACATGCCACAACTTTGGGGTGAGGGATGTTTGTATGTTGTATGTATATTAGTTTTAGTAGTTAGAGATAGAGGAATAATGGAAAAAACATAAAAATTTAAAAGTTTCGATTTTTCTCGACGATGGATATCATCTATTACAGGTTTCTTGAGGGATTAAAGTCGAAGAAAAAAGACAAAAAGATTTTCTTTTGTTAGGTAGTGTAATAATTCCCCCTTGGTTTTTCTTTAGGCCGCGGTTCTTTTCCAAGAGTTTTGTTTGAAGCGAGTGTAGTTAGTTTTTATTTTTGTTAGGAGGAGGAAACCTTGTGCTATGTTTTGAACTGAAGCAATATCTCTTGACTTTATTATACCTTGAGAATAGTGAGTGTGTTAGTTGTAACGCTTAGGCTCAGTTTTTGACTCTTGTATAAGTACCTTAAATTTGTTTGATCTTAACTCGCAGGTTCCATCCATACACTAGTTTACAAGTTGGGCATGTGTGACACCTTTGCACCAACTTGAGCGGGAGTGTTGACCAGCTTAATTATAGGAGAAGAATCAGAAAATCAAATCTTTAATTAATAGCTTGATTGTAGGAAGATTGTATCGTAACGGAATATTCTCTCATTATTAATTTAACTTATTTTTAGTACTACTCTTATTTTATTTTTGGCATAATGATGATAGAAGCTGAGCTCAAAGAAAGAAGTATGGATTCATATCGCCGACCCCAACTTTGTGTGGGACTGAGGCGTTGTTGTTGTTGACTAATTTGCCTATAGAACCTATTTGTTTCAACTATGTAGTTAAGTGGTGATGAAGTATTTTTGTAGAGGAGTCTACTATACTAGTTGCAAATGGTATGAGATCTTTTGTTACATGTACGTCATATATGGCCATTGATGGTTGTAGACGTGTCTACTTGTAAATCAAAAGTCTTGTGACTCTCTAGATTATTATAACACATTGATGATTGTTGAGGGCCATGCTCACGCATTACAGTGAGATGTTTGTCCTTTGACTATCTCTTTCTCTCTCGTGGTTGGTCTATTCAGTTTGATGTCAAAAAACTTTTCTCAATTGCTTTTTCCATGAGTTATTATCTATCTGATTGGTTTCATAATTGTTTTGGTAATCATTATCTCTCTTTATGTCATTATATATAAGAAGTTGTTTTATCGACTCTCATCAGGGACCGAGTTTTCTACCAAGGATTTGGATGCTCTCACTTATTTTTACGAGTGTCTGCATCACTCACTTGGCCAATTGCTTGCATCTTTCTCAAAGAAGTATGCTAGCAATCTTGATCGTGTAGATTAAAATAGTCTACTCATCACTATCAAGTGAATAGTACAGAGGTGAAAAAGATTGTCGATCCCAAAAAGACTAGTATATAGTCGACAACACGTGATTCTTGTTCTTGTGGCTTGAGAAGTCAAATGTTGAGATTAAATTAATTCCTTCTAATACCTAACAAAACAAATGGTCAAAAGATGCATGAAATACATGAGAAAAAAGTTTCAAAAGAAATACCAAAGTTGCTAATAGTTAGGATTTAACTTTACCTACATGCTTGTTACAGTTATTTTTTAACAGAAGTTTTAAACAATACCATGCTGGAGTAAAAAATTGTCATTTTCAGGTGAGACTTCCTGTTTCGAAAGTCCTTTACCTTGATGTTGCTCCCGGGTAGACTCTTGGTTAATTTCACTTAGGACGCATGACGGCTGTGGAACTATTTTTCAAGAATTGGTAAATCCCTTATATTCTAATCATCTTTTAACGTAGAAGTAACCACCTCTGAGATACCTAACCATGATTATTCTCAAGAGTAAACTCTCATTTAGTTACTCTAAGATGCTATAAGGTTTAAGAAGTTCACCTATTTTTAGCACACAAATCTTATTATTGTTCCTATCGGGTAGCTTAATCAAAATTATTGCATACTTTAACAATAATAACTTGAGTATTCTTGAATCAACCTAACTCCTCTAATTTGACCTCGCGTTAGATTTTATTCACTCAAGTATAACTAAGCATAACCTGGTTAAATTTTGTGCAATTTCACAATACATGGATGAAGACACTAAGTATGATAATGTAGCCATTCAACGAAGCAAATATGAAACTCACATCTCAAGGTACAACTTTTACATATTTATAACCGAGAAATTTCCTGTGAGTTAGCCGGCAACCCCAGTTGACCCACAAGTTGAAACTCCAGAAGGTATGGCCCTGTCGCTCTTCTCCACCTCGCTTAATTATCAGGCTTCTTGTGATTGGCAAGATTTGAGCTAGTGACATGTGTCCCACCACAGATACTCAGTTGCGCATCGTTACTACTGAACCAAACCTAGAAGCGTTCAAATCTCAAGTAGGATTGAACAAGCATGGGCTCAATTTCACTCCAACTACATAATTTACTCCATAACACAAGTGAAGAAAACCAAGGAAACTACTTTCTTCATCACAAATCAATTAATTAATCAACTACACCTCATCGCAACCTAGAAAGGTATTTCAGACATTTCATGTCAACACAAACTTAAAAAGAATTAGAGAAAGAAGAACTTTCATTGAAGATGGGTGGCTAATCGAGTTCATCTTCTATCTTTTCTTCTTTATCCCTTCATGTTGAATTGTCCCTTCTCCTTCTAAAAATTTACAATCCAAAAGCATTTTTGAATTGGAGAGGGTTTATGATCTCAAAAGTCGGTGCAATAGCGCTCATACACACTAGCAACTTTAGAATTACTATCTGGCGCTGCAATGTCCACACAGGAGATGAAGAATACACTTTGGACTAATGCCATGGTGCATAAATATGATGACATGGCACTAGACTTGTGTTTCACCATGTTCATCTTCTTTGCTTCATTGTTGCATTGGTCACAACACTGCGATGTGGGTGTTCATATTTCAAATATTTTCATATATCTTCAACTCCTTATGAAGGCTCTAATTGTTCCTTTGCTTGCAAAAGATCATAAAATCAACTACAAACAACTTGAATATATCATGGACTTGACTAATCTCACAGTAAAACCTTTCAAATAATCATTGGTATGCTCTAGTCCAAGTCATGTTCTTTCCATTTTGCTCACTATTGAGGATGTTAATTTGGACGATTGCAATTTATACTGTAGTATAGTGGGTGCCTTACAATATTTGACCCTGCTTTGCCAACCATTACTGTTGCAGTGAATACAACTAGTCAACTCGTGCACACTCCTAATTCTTCTCATTTTATTGGTATAAAGGAACATCTTGCTTTATATTGCAAGAAATCTTAACTTTGGACTAGATTTGAAGTAGTTCTCTAGATTTTCCTCACTGCTTATTTAGACGCTACTTCATACGGCTATCCTGATACTTGTAGGTCTACAACAGGAGTGCCTCTCTTTGATCAGAATCTTATTTCTTCCTCTTCTAAGGAGCAAGATACTGTGTCTCGCACCACACCAAGGGGAAAGTTGCTTCTTTGCTTGTACACAGTCCTCTTCGGCCCACTTCTTGTCTTTTGTGATAATGTAAGAACATGTATCTTATATAGAAACTTATATATGAATTATATAGAAAGCATCTTGTAGTTGAATTTACAAAACATGTGGCTTAGGGGTCTATTCTTGTCCATTATTTTCTGACGGTGTGTCAATTTGCTGATATTCTCACTAAGTACCATTCATGTCATGCTTTAGGACTCTTCCAAAGGGTATTCACTTGTGACCACGCATATGCTATGCATATGTTTATTTATAATATTAGTGTAATATGATCTGTAGCTACGCCTATAAGTAAAGATGCTCTTGTAATATGCATTTGTAGTTCACCGGGATACTCTTGTCACTTAAACTTGTATTGCTCTTTTCAAGCTAAAAATTCTCAACTACAGTATGATTAAGGGATTAAGGGACGTATTACAAAAAATTTGACGTTTCCAACTTATGACCATTTGGTTGCGTGGGAAAATATACGATAAAGGTAAAGTACATGAGGCAGCTAAACTTTAGTTTTCATTGTGGTTGGATTTGTGTTGTAGAACAATTACAAAACATAATCTTTCAAAATCACATCCTGTTTCCCGAGAACCAAAAGGAAACCAAATCAATCTCAAAATCATACTGTTTTATAATCCAAATGCCAAAGAAACCAAAACACATATACCGCATAAGCAATGTTAAGAAGCAAAGGAAAGGCAAAGACAATCCAAGCAGAAAAGAAAAAATGGAAGTATGATACGGGAAAGGTATAATTTTGATAAAGAAGATAAAGAAAGGAGCGTACCCCTTTCTGTTTGCAGTATTCAATATCCGTCCAGCAATCCTCGTTTTTCACACGATCAGCCGGCCAATTAGGACTTGGAATGATGGCCGATATAGATGAGGTCACCACCACACGCCTAACCCCCAGCTCCTTTGACGCTGTAAGTACATTCATAGTGCCTTTGATTGCTGGCGACAGAAGTTGATTCTGTAACACCACACAACCCCAAGTAGAGAACAGAGTAGCAAATTAGTACCAAAACTCATTTAAATCAATATCAAGAACAAGTAAATGAACAGTAACAGTAGACAATACATACAGGAGTACTAATTAATTTCTTTCAATCTGTCTAACCCTATGGTGGCAGAATTACACAGGTTATCATTGGAGATGCATCTGCATGCAAGCAAAATTAGAGGGATTCAAGACCTTACATCGGGATCTTTAACTTCATCGACAATGCAGGGGGAAGCAAGGTGGAAAACGCCGACAGCACCAGTAATGGCGGGGACAATTGAGTCGTAATTAATTAGATCAATTTGGAAAAGAAGGAGACGGGATTCAGCCCCTTCTAAGGCAAGTAAATGCTTCGTCTCTTTCTCATCATCTAAAAGATAAGATTACAAAAAGTCGAGAAATTAGGAATTACTTGAACCAGAAAAAAAGGAAGAGAAGGGATGGGAGTTGACTGACTGAGATCTTTGATGGTAGCGTGAACAGTGTAGCCACGCTCGAGAAGGAGACGGACCAGCCATGAACCAATATAGCCGCTGCCTCCAGTAACACACACTACTTCACCTGCTCTGCTTGCCATTTCATGAATTCACAATTTGTAATGCTTCACGGCCGGAAAATGCCACAACTTGAATTACTTATCAGTTATGAAAAGAAAATGCGAAATAAGCATATGGATTCATTATCCAATGAGAAGACATTCCTTTTGAGTTTTGTGCGTAAGTGGGTTAAACTTGGACACCTGGCAATAGACGCAGTGCATTGTTTGGATTTAGGGAAGGGAAAGTGAGATGATGATGAGCCCCTTTGGACATAAGAAATTTTTTCCTTTTTTAAAAGAAAAATCACTTTATTTCATTTGTTCGCTTGGGTCTCGAGTGTTGAGAGTGACTTTCCTTAGGACTAAGTCCCCTACTCCGAAATATCGAAAGTTCGTCCTTCTGTTGTAATACCTTTCGATCCTTTGTTTTTGCGCAGCCATTCGAATTAATGTGGCCTCACGTTTCTCGTCTAGTAACTCGAGAGAAGTGTTCATGGATTCGTGGTTCGAGTCCTCGGTGGTATGCTTAAACCTGACGCTAAGTTCCCCGACTTCAACTGGGATCAATGCTTCGGACCCGTATACTAAGGAAAACGGGGTCTCCCCCGTGCTTGACTTTGACGTCGTTCGATATGCCCATAGCACCTCGGGCAATACTTCTCTCCATTTTCCCTTTGCATCATCTAACCTTTTCTTTAAGTTTCGAATGATGGCTTTGTTTGTGGACTCGGCCTGACCATTCGCATTTGGGTGGTAAGGCGCTGATAGAATCCTTTTGATTTTATGGTCCTCGAGCAATTTGGTCACTTTGCTGCCGATGAATTGTTTCCTATTATCACATACTATTTTGTCTGGTATCCCGAACCGACATATGATGTGGTCCCATATAAAGTCGATGACTTCTTTTTCTCTTATCTTCTCGAAGGCCTGTGGTTCTACCCATTTTGAGAAGTAGTCAATCATAACAAAATAAATTTAGCTTTACCTGGCACCGTTGGTAGGGGGCCGACGATGTCCATCCCCCATTTCATGAATGGCCACGGGGATGGGACCGAATGGAGTTGTTCACCGGGTTGATGGATCATCGGTGCAAATCTTTGGCATTTATCACACCTTCGAACGAACTCCTTGGTATCCTTTTCCATGCTATCCCAATAATACCCCGCTCTGATCACCTTGCAAACCAAAGAGTCGGCACCAGAATGGTTCCCACAAGTGCCCTCGTGGATTTCTCATAATACATAATCGGTGTCCCCGGGTCCCAAGCAGACTGCCAATGGTCCATCGAAGGTTCTTCTATACAACGTTCCATTTTCATCGAGTGAGAATCGAGCTGCTTTGGCTCGAAGTGTTCTCGACTCTTTTGGGTTCGTGGGGAGCTTCCCATGCTTCAAGTAGTCGATGTACTTATTCCTCCAATCCCACATTAAACTTGTTGAATTAATTTCTACATGGCCTTCTTCGACCACCAACCTCGATAGTTGGACGACAGTCCCCGGGACGATATCATCTTCTTCAATCGATGACCCCATGTTTGCAGGTGCATCGGCCACACTATTCTGTTCTCGAGGTACATGGTCCAGTGTCCATTCCTTGAAGCAATGCAATGTCACTTGAAGTTTGTCTAAGTACCTTTGCATTCGATCGTCTCGAACCTCGAAGCTCCCGTTTACTTGATTTACCACCGAAAGGGAGTCACACTTTGCCTCGATGACCTCTGCTCCAAGGCCCTTGGCTAGTTCGAGACCTGCAATCATGGCCTCATACTCGGCCTCATTATTAGTCAATTTAGAAGTTTTGATAGATTGCCTAACGACACTGCCCGTAGGCGGTTTTAAAACGATGCCGAGCCCGTTTCACATTCGAGGCACCGTTTGTGAAGAGGGTCCATACCCCCGATGACGTACCCATTTTTAGAAAGAGTTCCTTTTCTACTTCGGGTACGAGGGTAGGCGCGTAATCGGCCACGAAGTCTGCCAAAATTTGAGACTTGATAGCCGCTCGAGGCTGATATTCGATATCATACCCTCCAAGTTCGATGGCCCATTTGGCCAATCTACCCGATAATTCGGGCTTATGCAAGACACTTCGAAGTGGATACGTAGTCAATACACATATAGTATGGCATTGAAAATATGGTTTTAATTTCCTAGATGCGCTTATTAATGCAAGAGCTAACTTTTCCAAATGTGGGTACCTGGTTTCAGCATCTCCTAGAGTCCGACTTACATAATAGACAGGAAATTGCGTACCTTTCTCTTCTCGAACCAACACTCCACTTACCGCCACCTCGGACACGGCTAAATACAAGTAGAGTGTTTCATCTTCCTTTGGAGTATGGAGCAGGGGTGGGCTCGAGAGATACCGTTTTAATTCTTCCAAGGCTTGTTGGCACTCCGGAGTCCATGCGAAGTTGTTCTTCATCTTGAGTAGGGAAAAGAAATGATGGCTCCGATTTGCTGACCTTGAGATAAATCGGCCTAGGGCAGCTATCCGTCCTGTTAGTCGTTGTACGGCTTTCACATTGTTCACTACGGTGATTTCCTCGATGGCTTTGACTTTATCGGGGTTGATCTCGATACCCCTGTTCGACACCATGAAGCCCAAGAACTTGCCCAAGCCGACTCCAAAAGCGCATTTCACGGGGTTGAGCTTCATGTTATACTTTCTTAGGATATCGAACGTTACCTGCAAATGGGTCAAATGGTCCTCCGCGTGCAGGGACTTTGTTTACCGTGAAAATGGTAACAACAATTAAATTTGTAAATGGGATTCTAAAAATATATGATCTATTCCCGAGCTAGTTTGAAAGGGTGATTAGTGCTAAATGTAGAGTAAAAACAGTAAAGATCGAGCTAGCCAAAAACGATAATCGAACCAGTAAGGGGCGTTTCCGAGCTTAAGACAAGCCAATAAATACCTTGGGACCAGACCTCGAGCCTACCTCGGGCCTATCGAGGGTAATCTTATCGAGGGTAGTTGGGAAGGGGATAACAGATAAATATACAAGCGAGTAAGGCTTTATATGATCAAGTTTGAGCGAAATGTTTGAAGAACAGATCAAGGAACAATAAAATGCTGAAGACGATCTCGAAATATAATAGACAAATCGAGAGAATGGCTATCGGTGGATATGATTTAAAACCAGAGGGAATTTAGAGAAAGAGAGAGAGAATATTATTGCTTTCTTTGTAAAGCCAACAAGCGATATCTTTCCAAGGTGTTGGTGACCCTTCTTTTTATAGAAAGAAAGGGGGAGTCCAAACTTAATATAACAAACAAATACAATAAAATAACGAGATGTGACAGCCTGCATTTCTTTGTAGGAGAACTGGCGTCGAGCCGTTTGGAGAAGTCTCGCGGGCCCCAGTCACATCCCTTATGGAATATCTTCGCCCATCAGGGTCTTAATTGGTGCTTGATCTGGGCAAGGCATCGGCTAGGTCTCGAGAGGGAACCGAACCGAGATCCCGTGCCTTCGGGGCTTGCTCTTCGAAACACTATGTCGAGGAAAATTGGTCTCCCAATTTCCCTGCATACAGATAGTTTCCGCATTTCTTAGAGGGAAGTGATAAGAAATGTTTTTGACGCTCCTCCTCGAGCTCCTAGATATGCCAATTATGCCGATGGCTCAGCCTTTCTCCACAGAAGTCGAGGCGTTTTTCCTTCCCGCATCTTTAGAACCTTTCGGAGGTATTATGATCCCTCGCTTTTCGGGGCCGCATCGTCGTTGTTGCCACTCTGTGCCGCCATTTGGTCGCCATCGTTTCGTCTTCTATGAACGCATTGATTTCGTCTGTCGGTACGTTTTTCGAGGGCGGTAATGGCGCCGTCGGTTACTTTGTTTTTACCCTCTATATATATATATATATGGGGCTCCCTTGCGATTAGTTCTTCATTCAGGAGGCCTCCTTCGATACATGCTTTCCTTGCTTTCCTCGCCACTTTTCTGGCCTTTGTTGCTCTGCAATGTTTGGGGCCTATGGCCTTAAGATCTTTCGTCGGTCAAGCCATGGGCTAGCCCTCGAGCTTTCCTGGACAGGACGGGCTTGTACTGCTGTGATGCCGTTGTTGTTGTTGCTATCGTTGCTGGCTTGGTATAGCGACATAGGAGGTTGGTGTCCCCTGATCTGGAGAAAGATTTGGGTTATCCACCGATGCTCAAGAGGGGGCTCGGATTATACACCGCTGCTCACCCTCCTTCAACGGCCCGGCGTGTTAAAATCCCTTTGGATTCCGGGAGGTGTGGTGATTGGCTCCACTCGGCCGTTGTATTCCGGGCCGTGGCGACATCTCGAGAAGTGGCTTCGGGGGAAATACGCAGGCGGAGTCCGCGCTAGCCGAATTTTTGGCCCAGCCACTTCTCGCCTTCCTCTGGTATCCCTTCGTCATTTTGCTCTTCTCCCGGCTTCCTTTTGAAGATGCCGTTTTGAGAAGGTAGGGATGAGATCCTGGCGGGAGCCGGACTTGGAAGATATTGTCTTTGAGGTCATACGACCGGAAGGATGGCTTCAGAAGCGCTACACGTAAGATGTTCTCTTTTGGACTTGTATGCTGCCTGTACTTTCCTTTTTCCTTTTGTAAAAGAAGCTTTTGTAATCATGTAAGATGCAATTGTGTATAAGGATTTATACGAATATATGTGAGCACGTGATTTTTGCCCTATATGAATTACTCCCATAGATTCAAGAAAATAAATTTTTCCATTATTTTGCAATTTTGTAGATTTTTGTAGCATTTTTTGTTGACTGTTTGCATTTGTCTATGCACTCTTATTTTATTTAATTCATGAAAAATACAAAAATACATTGCATTTTGCATTTGGGATTTAATTTGCATTTTTTAAATTAATTAGTAATTTAGTTGTGTTTCAAAAATAGAAAATCACGAAAATAACTCATGTTTGCATTTAGCTTCGAATTTTGTATTTTTCTTAATTTGGTAATTAATTAGTTGTTGTAAATATCTTTTTTAGCAATTAAACTAATTTGGTAGGATAATTTGGATTTAGAATTAATCTAGGTTCTATTTTTAATTTGAAAAAGAAAAAAAAAGACTTGAAATTGAAAAGAAATTGGAAAGACAAAAGAAAGAATTGGAAAAATGCTTGTCTTGTGGAATTAGGTCACTTTAATTAAAGACCCATTCAAATCCTTCCCAATCCAGGCCCAAAATTGATCCCCACCCGGTCCAAATCAGCTGGTCCTTCAGACCATCCAAACGACGTAGTATAAGGCCAATACTATGCC